TGTTGCGTGCGCCTAGCGACTTTCTGTTAGAATACTTCCCTTAAAAGGATCGCCTTGGATGTGTGCTACAATCAGGGGCAGCTGAAGCTAGCTGTACAGGCGTCCAACAAAATTCGTTTCATTTACTTTATATTCTCCCTGTTGCACAGGGTAGAGTATGCGGTCCAGCATATGGTACAGATGTCTGCGGAGAGGGGGCATGCGGCCGAGCTGAGAGTTGTCAACCGTGCAGTGTTTTGTATCCTCAAGATGAGGAGGTGCGGAAGAGGTGGACGTGATATGGAAAGATTTGATGCGTGTTTAGGGCTAGCACACTCCGTCAGGTGCTAGAACAACACCATACGAATAAACGAACCACAATTCTAGCTTTTATGGATTCCCAAAGAAGCACTAAACTAGCCTGGGGTTCATGAATCTTGCCTCAGGGAATGCCACAGAAGTTTTTGAACGTAATTATTTCCTTTTAGTCTCAAAATCCCAAACTTGTAAAGGCATGGAGGAAGGTCTCAAGAAGCTAACGTACACAGAGTTATCAGTGTCTGCAACATAGCGCCAAACCATTCAAAGGGGTTAGACTAACCCCTGTAAAAGTGTCAGCTTCGAAAACCCCATAGTTCTGCCTCAGATAATTAAGGCTTACTCATAGTTAGCGGCATCACTAAAAGCGAACCCAAATTAATTAAAACGAAGCTACGGGGTTTTCATCGTTGCAAATTTTACGAGGAGTTATTCTTATCCGGTTGCACGCTCCAGTGATATGTTGCCCGTGTACTTGGTTTAAGTGAACAAAATTTCAAGGCCACCAAACACAGTTGCCTTGCGCATGATTATCAATTTACGGAAGAAGAGCGAAATAAAATACTGGCTCATTTCAGTGTGCTGTGATATTCATCAAATATGTTGTAACCTCTGAAGAGTATCCTATGTAAGTTCCACTAAGGTGTGTGGTTGAATAGCGTCAGGTACATCCCAGATGGGTTTTTCGTCAGACTTCCAAACAACAGTTTTTCTGTTAACCTCGCTTTGCGTTCAGTATGCTAATCGGAGACAAGAGGAAACACACCGACGCTAATACCACAACCTCCGAAAGGTGTAACAGAATATAAATACTTATATACTACTACCTTTGTTGACAGTAGTATGTCAATTATATTCCGCACACTGACGTCAATCTGGCCTATCAATCATATGTACATGTCACCGAGGATACCCCTCTGGGACGGGCCGATAGGCTAATGACAGCGTGACGAATGACGCAGGGGTACAATAGGAAAGCTGGTCGAAATCAATGGAAACCACCGAGATAATGTAGACACCTGGGGACCACAATTCTAGCTTTTATGGATTCCCAAAGAAGCACTAAACTAGCCTGGGGTTCATGAATCTTGCCTCAGGGAATGCCACAGAAGTTTTTGAACGTAATTATTTCCTTTTAGTCTCAAAATCCCAAACTTGTAAAGGCATGGAGGAAGGTCTCAAGAAGCTAACGTACACAGAGTTATCAGTGTCTGCAACATAGCGCCAAACCATTCAAAGGGGTTAGACTAACCCCTGTAAAAGTGTCAGCTTCGAAAACCCCATAGTTCTGCCTCAGATAATTAAGGCTTACTCATAGTTAGCGGCATCACTAAAAGCGAACCCAAATTAATTAAAACGAAGCTACGGGGTTTTAATCGTTGCAAATTTTACGAGGAGTTATTCTTATCCGGTTGCACGCTCCAGTGATATGTTGCCCGTGTACTTGGTTTAAGTGAACAAAATTTCAAGGCCACCAAACACAGTTGCCTTGCGCATGATTATCAATTTACGGAAGAAGAGCGAAATAAAATACTGGCTCATTTCAGTGTGCTGTGATATTCATCAAATATGTTGTAACCTCTGAAGAGTATCCTATGTAAGTTCCACTAAGGTGTGTGGTTGAATAGCGTCAGGTACATCCCAGATGGGTTTTTCGTCAGACTTCCAAACAACAGTTTTTCTGTTAACCTCGCTTTGCGTTCAGTATGCTAATCGGAGACAAGAGGAAACACACCGACGCTAATACCACAACCTCCGAAAGGTGTAACAGAATATAAATACTTATATACTACTACCTTTGTTGACAGTAGTATGTCAATTATATTCCGCACACTGACGTCAATCTGGCCTATCAATCATATGTACATGTCACCGAGGATACCCCTCTGGGACGGGCCGATAGGCTAATGACAGCGTGACGAATGACGCAGGGGTACAATAGGAAAGCTGGTCGAAATCAATGGAAACCACCGAGATAATGTAGACACCTGGGGCGTAAGGGAAATCCACCCGTTGATAGTTGGTTACGAAATATATGGGTTTAAGCAGGTGTAAATCTCATACTAGCGCGAAGGCAAAAAGGGATTTTACGTTCAATGAAATGCAGTTGGTCAGCAAACAGACATGAACCTCACCCTACTACAGGGTGTGTCATTCAAATGTAGATGATAATTCAACAAAGTGGAACAAGATCCAATTTGTGGATCGGTTGACTTCCAGCAGCACCCCATAGAAACAACCCCCCTAATATAGAACAAAGAGAGAGGAGCTATTCTGCCCAATAAGTATTAGGTCCGGCGCATAAAATTAACCCCACCCTCAACGTGGTACGGCGCCGTAACCAGTGTTTAACTGGGCTAACGGGGCTCTGGTACCTAAATTATCTGTATTGCCTCACATAATGATTATGTTTAATTGTATTTCGGGATGGATGTTGGTTGCCGAAGAAGAAACGGGAATGAAAATACAACCAGGTGTTCCGCGGATGTACAGAGGCCGATTAAAAAATGCCAGTGAAAAGGAATTCCTTTTGGTATCTCTGATACGAATTGTAGGACCGCAATAAATACCTCTCTTACGACTGAATGGTTATGCATGGTAACTGGGTTGAACTTTAGGTGTCACAGATTGTGTTGTCAACTTTGGCGTCACGTTTATTTCGAAGACGTAAAATAAGTTGGACTTGAAGCAAATTCGGTATGCTAACTGTCACACATTTTGTCTTACGCATGCCGAACGAAATGACTGTCCAATGAATGCATGACCGTAAAAAACCGTCTGAAGGAACTGGACAGCAAGAAACGCTTAACAATGTTACATTTAATGTAAACTCTACATTATAAACGATTGACAAACCAAAAAACTACTTATTGCGTTAGAGATGGCCAGTGCAACATCAGACATGATGAACTTGAGGTGGGGACCACCGTCAACAAATTCGACAAAAGTCAGCAGAAAGATTCTCACGACATTCTCAGTCTCCCGCCACAGAAAACCAACGGCTTCAGATAGGCTTTTACGACAACCCTGTACAATAAGTAGCCGATACAAAGAACAATTTTTCTGGTTTGTAGAAAAAGTACTATCTATTGACGAGAAATCTGGGATTATTCGGAACAGTTCAAGCATTTCCGAGGTTGAATGTACAAAATGTGAAATTCTGTTGTTCTCATCCCGCAAACAGCGGGCTCGTCTTTGTTCTTACGAGAAATCGGGATTATTCGGAACAGTTCTAGCATTTCCGAGGTTGAATGTACAAAATGTGAAATTCTGTTGTTCTCATCCCGCAAACAGCGGGCTCGTCTTTGTTCTTTGGATTTTGGTTCCAGGTTGAGAATGCAACCTGCGGAAAGCGTACATTTAGCAGCATAAAAAGGACTTACTTGGATTGTTCCACCCAAACATTTGCTGCTCCACAATGTTCCCGACTTCGCTGTTGGTGAGATATCGCTGAACTTGGATCTCACGTAGGAGCGGATGTTGAAACAGCGGCCCCGGCATTAAAGTATTGACCGTACGATCCCCAATTTCCACGGTTTCACTCGACGGTCCCGGTTTAATCAGCTGGATGCTTCGGTACCTAGAAGTTCCTGGTTGTGATTCGTAGTAAATCGGGTTGTTCTTAACGAGTTACCCAGCCTGCCAACGTTGAAACACGTCTTGCACTGTCTTGTCAAGCACTTTGCGTCATTTTTCGTCATTAGGACGAGGTCAAAATCTTTTCCGTTGGCATTAGCACCTGATGGACGTCTTGTCGCCGGAGAAATTAGCTTACGAGGTTTGCACGTTATAGTGCGATCCTGAAAACCGCTCGACCTGCTTGATGTAGTACACGAGTTCGTAAACGATGCAGAGTAGGTGGCTGCCCGGGTCTTCCCCGAACAGGGTGGCAACGTTCACTGCGTATCCTTCAGCAGAGGTAAGGGCAATTGCAACGACCGATTGTGTAATCGAGTGTGCTTAACAGACCTGAGCGGACAGGTACATTGGTCACGTCCAACAGTGGAAATGGTTAATCAGCCAATATCTTCGATGAAAGTGTGTCTAGTAGTGTAAATTAAACAAGAAAAAACATTTGGAATTTCGGAGAAAAATTAGAAACCAAAATGGTGTGGTAATAGTGATATTTCTGAAACAGTACAGTATTGACGCGGGCATGCATCTTTGCGAATGATCTACATCCTTATGTATCCGCAACAAGTCAGGAGATAATGTGGCGTTTTCAGTTATCTGGGGTTGAATTACCAACACCCCAGTGAGATAACTTACTGGAAAGCATATCATCACCAACGTGGATTACGTCACAACATTACTAATAAACAAGGCAAAACATTATCTTTCATCATGATAGCCATTTATGGTTATAACGCGTTAATTAACGCGTCTACGGGTTGTCGCTTACTTACCTTTTGAAGAAGTCAGTTGAGTGGCATACGCAGCACGTAGCCAAGCCAACGCAACCCATTCACTGTGATCAGTTCGTCCGTCGAGGGTGATTGATTCTTTCCGAATACCTTTCGGCGTACTTCAGCATTGCTTATCCGGTGTCCCCAGCAGATTCCTGCAATGCTCCGAAGACACAGGTGGTCGAACAGTGAAAGTCTTTTGACGTCTTCGGCGCATAGCGGCCAGGATTCTGACCCATATAGCACCGAGGCATTGTAAACCCGACCCTTGAGGGATAAGCTGATGTCATGCCTGCGTCACAGTTGACGCAGGTTCACAGAAGCTTCTCTGGCCTTCCTAATCCGGATTGAAATATGATCTTTCGCTGGACCACCGAGACTGATACAGCTGCCCAAGTAGACTAACTGGTCTACTACCTCAAGCGGATCACCTGCAATCATGAGGCTAGGGTACGAGCCTATCCAGTCTTGGAGCAGCACTTTACACTTTGCAGGCGTGAGGCGCATGCCGAACTGTGAGACAGAGTTATTTTAATTATTTAATATTGTTTGACTCACTATGGGGTCAGATCCAAGAAGAGCTCCGTCGTCTGTGTACTCAATTTCCGTGAGCACTTCAACCCCACAGGTGTTAGACCCTGATTGTGAGTCTTCCATGATCGTATCAGTGACGAAGCTGAAGAGAAAAAGTGAAAGAAAACAACCCTGCCCGATGCCACTTGATGCACTGAACTAATGCGAGTGTTTTCCGTGGACCACCAAAGGTGTACAGCGCCTTATGGAAGACCAAGAATTTATGGGGCACCTTTGCTCCATAGACACTGTCGTAGTACCCGATGGTTCAGAGAGACAAAAGCAGCTTTCAGATCAAGAAACACAACCATTTTTGGTTGCTGAAAAAGTGTGGCTGTTCAAAAATCTGTCGAAGGGTGGAGATATGATTGATGCATCCTCTTGCAGGAGAGAACTCAATTTGGTTCTCACAAATCTGTCTTTCCGTGTGTTCAGTCAACCTTCAAAGGATGAAGCCAGAGTACACCTTCGATGCCACCGCTAACAGGCTGATGCCGCGTCACCGTGCCATTTTTGGTCCCATTCTAAAGGCACTTCCTCTTCGTTCCACAGAGCACAAATAAGATTAGTCAGATGCATCCCCAGGGATTCTTTGCCTTCTTTGAAGAGGCCTGGATACTGACCGTCCAGTTCTGGTGCCTTCCTCCTCCGACGGGTGATTAGGATTCACATTCCATTAGACCGCGTGAACTTTCTCCACCAACTGTGTTGCAAGAGGCCAGCTGAACTGTTCATCGTCTTTCTAGTTGACATGGATTGATGAGCCGCATTTTCACTAATCGTTCCACTGACCGCTGATCTCTTAGGACAGTAGATTGTATAAGTTGTTATAGGCCATGGCTCTTTCCGGTAGAAAAAGCCTTCTTAATCTCCCGAGATTCTGCTGCGCACGAGAGCTCTTGGTCTTTCTTTGTGCTCCTTACCATTTGGCGTCTGAGGGGTTTGCACGCTCCATCGAACTTGTTGCCTGCTGGTATGGATGCCTTGGTATCACTCATAGATGGCGATCTCAACAACATCACGTGGTCTTGCAACCAAACCGATGGAGTCGTACAGAGGACCAATTACACAGCTCATTTCACATTTTGCCACGCTTCACCCACATGTCATCCACTGCCAGGACAGTATTGGTTTACTGCGGTGAGTGTTCTCCCCAACGAACGGCAGTCTTGAAATGCGGCTCTCCATCGGTGGCTGACGACCACTCGTTGCGTTTTAGCGTGTATCTGAAATAATTTAAGGCTACCAGTAACTGAGTCCTGACAGTGAACTAATCCTTTCCACTGCAAGAGTCAATAGAACAGCAGGCTACTAAAATAGGAGGCACGCCACAAACCAACAGAGAAGCCGACCACGACGCAATACAGATCAAGAACGGGCCAATCAGAATCCAGGTTACAGCGCAAATGCTGCTCTTTGTAGACTATATAAACGCAGGCACGAAGAGAGGAACTACCCAACCAACAGCGCACTGAAGATGTCTCCTCGAATGGTGACGAAACGTTTGCAAATCAATTGCCAAGCTCGGCGAACAGATCAACAGCCACCTGATCAATTACCAGTCTAACACATCCATACTCAGGGTAGGATCAATCACCACAAACTGAGGCTACCTGTAATGCCAGGCATACCAGCTCATAAACCGTCATTTTGTATTGTCAGCTGAGACAGTGACTAGTACTCATTCGAAGCAATTGACTGATGTTGGTAGGGAACAATGGATCATGTCTCACAAGATGGTGCGCTTGATGTCATAATCATATAAATTTCGTGAAGCCTTTCAGCAGGCGTTTTTTGGATACCACAAAATCTGTTTGAATTTCGAACTTGATTTTAAGTGTATACTTGTGTGTAGTCTTTTACGAGTCCAGTAAACCGTCAGGACTTACTGATAATGTTGGGCTCTGGAAATCCTGCCAGCGGAAATGCTGTCGCTCCAGTACAACAACCGTCGTGAAGGATCGTAAGACAACACATGTGTGTTGGGGCAACGCTAAAACCCGGCTACTAGATTAAAAAACCGTGCCTTCTTTATGGATCTCAGCACAAGTTGTGGACACCGACAAGTGTTATCCATACAGCAACCATTCATGAAGACCTCTAGGAGAAAGAACTTAAGGAAGTGAATCAAGGCGTTCGAGACTAGACTAGTATCTATTCCTCGTTTCAGAAAAGCTCGGTAACAATCATTAGTTTTTATTTGGGCTAAGTTTCGCTTTCGACAAAAAAGCTTCATCAGGCCAAGTGAGCAGGTCACCAAATTGGCCAGGTTATAAGGCAGACGGGGAACCAATCAGTAAGTCAGTCTTCTTCAGATTATCACACTGGATCAGTGTTGAATGTCAATTAACGGCTCTTGTCGGTTAGTGAAGTTGTCAAAGTCTTGCTTTGGTGGATTGGGGGAGTCTCAACTTAATACTGATCGGGTTTGGTTCGTTGATCTTACACTTCAGGGGCTTCAATTGATGATTCACTTCGGTTGATCTTTGTGGGGTTGTGCTCCGACAACAAAAGAGCTCAGAATACTTGAAAACTGGATGTATATAGAATAAGCATTTGAGCGGTTTTGTGGAACTGATGAAACATATCAAGGAGTCCTTGAATATGATCGTCTTTTGTGTCAGCAAGAGGGACCACAGCATCTCCGTGCGCCGCAACACCATTCACTCGGGAACTAGTTGTAATGAATACTTTCCGAAAAATATCGAGGGACAACCGGTTTCCAAGTGATAGATATCTGTTCTTCAACAAGGTAGTGTTTATGGCGGACAGTGCAGGAGAAACATTGTCAAGATATGTGTTCTTTAGGTCTATCTTGGAAAGCACCTGTATTCGGTCAGTTTGTTTTCGGTGCAAACTACTGTGTCGGCCTGTTTGAGCAGCTCCAACTTAAACGTAATAGGATAATCGTCACAGGTATCACGCTATCAGTTCGCCGTGGGGTAACAATTGATGTTCCTCTTGGTAAACATTCAACATCTCAAAGGAGCGAAATTCAACCAGTGCCTTACCCACGAGCTCACAAAAACTGTACGAATGAAATCTCCATTTCAAGTAAATAGGTTCTCACGTCATTTTCAACTTTGAAGACAGCATCTTACCGCCAATGGCTTTACTAAACTCCAGGGAAATGTTTTGAGGCTCAGATTTTCAATCGACGGCGAAACCAAAGAAGCACCAGGCCAGTAAAACATGGAGTCATAGCTTTCATTATAGAGATTTCATCCTGAAACTGAAGCTAAGATGCACCGTAGGACAGTTTGCCCCTTATTATGAACAGTGCAGCACCTCTCGCGAAACTCCACGGAGCTTCAAATCCGCGAATCCGCTGGTAGCAGTTTGAACACTCAATCGTTCGGGCATTGGCGGCTGATCAGCAGTGAGATTAACTCGTACTCTGACGGAATTCATCACTCGAGGAGTCAGTCAACATGCCTGACCACGTGATTAGGACACCGTGATTGAAGGACAGAGATGCACACTACTGAGGATGAGAGGGCTGTACGGTGTTTCTCGGCTGTTCAGCATAGACTGGCTTCACTTACAGCATGAGAGTTCCACCAAAAACAACGGATCTCTTCGCGTTACCAAGACGCGAGTCACAGTTTTGAGTCAGTGTGTGGGATCACCCCTCTCAGTGACGATTAAAGAACAAATCACCGGTTCACGCTTACTATGGGAAACGTCCTACCAAGTTGGAACTGGCAAAGCAATCTGGAGAGGCCGTTCCATATCACTTGTTGCATCATAACCAATCTTGAATCGACAAGTTTCATTACGCCTGTAGCTACCCAATCACCCACATACTTGACTGTCCAACTCACAGCTGCTCAATGGATCACGAGACTTGTCTTTTTTCATACTCGCAAAACGCGTCACAATAAGGTGACCCATCAGACATTGATTGTCGGCACCGTCTAGTGAGCGTAGCAACTACCCAGTGCTGATGCGCCCATGTACACGCAAACGGACCTACATACAGGGAAACCGGACACAGTCAGTCAACAAACTCGCGCGCGCGCAGGGAGTTGGAAGTCAAACTCTCCACAGTCCATGGACAATTATGGAACACGTGTACAGTCGTACTGCGGAGAAAACACGTTTCCACCGTCCGGACTTTCACCAAGGAACTCTCGCATACGATAAGTTCCCTTTTTGACTCACTCCCATTTCGCACTGTATTTATTTTTATATGTGTTGCAACCCTCCAATGTCAATCATAATAAAAACTTTTATTAGTGCATACACCTGATTTATATTATGGCCATCATCACCTGTGCACTAATAAATTGGTGGGAACGTGTTTTCCCCGCAGTGCGACTGCTACACGTGTTCCATAATTGTCCGTGGACTTGAAGTGTTTGGCTGACTCCTCGCTCCCTGCGCGCGCGCGAGTCTGTGTGTGCTGACTGTGTTCGGTTTCCCTATATGTAGGTCCGTTTGAGTGTACGTGGGTGTGTTAGCACATGAGTTGTTGCTGCGCTCATTAGACGGTACAGACAATCGATGTCCGATGAGTCACCTTAGAGTGACGCGTTTTGCGAGTATGAAAAAAGACAAGTCTCGTGATCCAGTAAGCGACTGTGAGCTGAACAGTCAAGTATGTGGGTGACTGGGTAGCTACACGTCTACAGAATGTTTGGGAGCGACCCAGATTACCGCAGTTGCGACATGCTTCCCGCGTTGAAAATGGCCACTAGAGCCAAAACAACCGAGAGTTTGCCCGCGATATCCGGCCGACAGTTGCTCCCTTTTTCGCTTAACTACTTTGTTTAGTTCGAATTGCCACTCTTTATTGGAAAAAATAACGATTGAGTTGTGTTCACAATTTGTAGCTTTCTCATACGTGGCAGTGGCAACAATACCTTTGAATCACTCAACTTGAACGGAATTCGCCTCACTCGGTTGGAGAAGTTGTCGCTAAAAAGATGACTTGATGTTGTAGACAGTTAGTCGATCTGTCAGTATCTTACCTAAAAGGCCAGTTGGTTAGTATTTTGTGACTTACGTCTGAATTGGAGAATGAACCTCCTTGGATCGGAGCATGTCCCCGTAAGACAGGTCTGTCAATTCTGAACCAGTTAGAAGCCGTAGGTCTAAGAT